ACAACAAACACAACTAACTACAACTAACAACGACAAACAACACCTTACAGTACCTAACAACAACTAACAACAATGAAAAAAAAAGCTAAAAACAACTAACAATAACTAGCAACAGGAAACACAAGGAAACAAACCAAACAACAACAAACAACAACAAACAACAAACAACAACAAACAACAAACGACAAACAACAACGAACAACAAACAACAACCATCAAACAACAAACAACAACGAGCAACAAGCAACAAGCAACAAGCAACAATCAACAAGCAACAAGCAACAAAAAACAAACAACAAACAACAAACAACGAACAACGAACGACAAACAACAAACAACAAACTAAAAACAAACAACAAACAACAAATAACAACGAACAACAAACAACAACGAACAACAAGCAACAAGCAACAAGCAACAAGCAGCAAACAACAAACAACGAACAACAAACAACAAACAACAAGCAAACAAACAAACAATCGAATCATTTTTGTCGTCAAAACTTCTTCATCATCGCTATCATCTTCACCAACATCATTCTATCATGGTCATCGTCATTATGCTCGTCATAACGTCACACATCGCAGCTCTCCAGCGATCATGATGTGTGTACTGCTTACACAGTACCTAATTCAACACTGGGGGTAAACCCTAAACCCTAAACCCTAAACCCTAAACCCTAAACCCTAAACCCTAAACCCTAAAACCTAATGGGAAATCACATGCAGCGCAGCAGTCAGAATGAGTTCGGCAGCCTGGCTCGGTGCCAAATCCATGCGGCCCAGGACTGAAGTGACAATGTTCCTCAGGCAGTAGGAGCATAAGGGTTTAGGGTTTAGAGTTTAGGGTAGAATGTTTGAGGGAATTTGGGCTGAGGTGCCAAAGAGGCGGAAAGAGAAACGAGCCAGGACCTGCCATGTTCGCCTCCGTCAGACACAACTTTTTCTAATCCAAGCGTCGCAGTATTCGCACTTCTGAGCCTTAGCATATGCGATCAGTGAACCAATTATGTACCCACTTGCGAAACCTTCAAAAGTGGCAACACAAGTGAAGTCAGGCGTAACCGGCAGATGCTGACCGAAATGCTCCTGCAAAGAGAACGGTTCAGTTGTCACTGCCAAAACATGCTTGGAACCCCGGAAAAGCTTGTAGGTGTAGGCCATAGAAGGGACATGACACATTGACTTGACTCGCCTAGGCTGTGAAGAAGTTAACCAGTACTCAGCTTGCAGTAGATGAGCTCTTGCTAAAGAGGTCACGCAGGCCTTCTTCTAGGAACAGTCTTAAACATGCCATTGACGGTTGCCTGAGCCGTAGGTCCTACACTTCCTGGGGCCCTGGGAACGTTACACGCAACTTGGGCGGCCATCTCCCCAAACCCTAAACCCTAAACCCTAAACCCTAAACCCTCAACCCTCAACCCTCAACCCTCAACCCTCAACCCTCAACCCTAAACCCTAAACCCTAAACCCTAAACCTCAACCCTCAACCCTAAACCCTAAAGAAAGGATGTGCGCCTGTTCACATTGGCCGACACACACATGTTCAAGATAGCCCAGCATGCAGAAGGATGGCTCCAGCTCGTATCTGTAGATCCGGATGGGTCCCCCGTGCTCAGAGAGGAGTTGAACTTTGCAGGTATCAGTCCAACCTGCAGTTGGAGACATGTCTTCCAGGGTCTTCTCTGCTTGATCTTGGATAGGTTGCGATTATCGTTCTTACCACTACCAATACGATTACAATACTATTGCGACTACTACTACTACTACGACTACTACTACTACTACTGCTACTGCTACTACTACTACTACTACTACTACTACTACTACTACTACTACTACTACTACTACTACTACTACTACTACTACTACTACTACTACTAGTGGCTTCTTTGCGTGCGAATGGCCAGAGCATCCATGTCCGCACGATGATAACGTCCGTGTTACCAGCGCATCCATGTTGACACGATGATAACTGGCAACGTCCGTGTTGCCAGAGCATCCATGTCCGCACGATGATACTGTCCGTGTTACCAGAACATCCATGTCCGCGCAATGATAACGTTTGTGTGACCACTGCGTGCGCAGTGCCAGAGCATCCATGTCCGCACGATGATAACCTCCATGCAAAAACATCGGTATTTGCGACACTTCGTGGCTTCACGGCGTGCGAATGGCCAGAGCATCCATGTCCGCACGACGATAACGTCCCTGTTACCAGAGCATTTATGTCCGCACGATGATAACGTCCGTGTTACCAGAGCATCCATGTCCGCTTGAGGCCAGCACTGAACTCCGCTCAGTGTCTTCCATGTCAAAAAAAAACAAGATAAGAGGAACTCTGCCAATCACCTGCCATCAGCTGAAAACACTGTAAAACGCATGCTTTTCCTCCCACTCCTGCGCAACCAACACACGTACGTAACCAGCGCGTACTACTACTACTACTACTACTACTACTACTACTACTACTACTACTACTACTACTACTACTACTACTACTACTACTACTACTACTACCACCGCTGCTGCTACGATGCGACCAGCGTTGCGATCAGGAATAGTATTATTGTTCTGGTTTTCTACTGTTTTCCGCCGAACCCGCTGTGGGCGAGGGAGGCGCTTTGACAAACACAGACTGGTGCATCTTGGTGTGTTGGGTTTGCAAGGGTTTGAAAGCATGACCACTATCCCGCAACCCACTTTCCGCCACCCCACTACCACTACCCAATGCCCCACACTGCCCAACTACCCCACACAGCCCAACTATCCACTGCCCCACTACCCCACTATCCGCTACCCTCAAGGACCTTCGCGCACTACCGGGCAGCTACCCCACCCCAAACCCCGGTCCCAGGCCTTCACCTCTTGTTTGCTTTCGTTGCTAAGGAACAAACGCCTTAATCTATACTCCCCTCAGAACCTGAATAAAAAAAATATCTTGAATATCCTCTTGGGGGTTATATGAACAAAATTAAAAAACAATTCCCCAACGGGGATAGAGTGATGGAGCGCCACCTCCCGCCGCCCAACCCCGGCATCATGAGCTCCAGCTGCATCATGACCGGCTGGCGGAGCGGCCCCAGGCTCGCCCCCGAAAGCGACCTTGCCTTTTCTAGTTCATGGTTGGGATAGTATGAAAAAATGTAAATTTGTATTCTTTATTGGGTTTAAGTACCCTTAAAGATGTAAAATGCTACCCAACCATGACAAAGTTTTGGTGGCGTTTTTTTTTGCGAGCTGCTCCGAAGTGCAATGAAGCTCCAAACGCTGTAACTTACAGTGTCGTTTGCTCGGTTTTTGAAGGCAAGGGAAGGGCTTTGAAGGGCCTGAAAGGGGGGGTGCAACAGTGAGGAACCCCAAAGATGCCGCTGATGCGGGGCCGGCATTATCAGCATCATGGCGCCCAGAAAACCGGCATGATTAGCTTCATTGGGCCGTTTCCCAATTTGGTCCTCCTCATTCCCTCATGGCCCTTCAAAGGAAACCCTAAACCCGAAACCCTAAACCCTAAACCCTATACCCTAAACACTAAACCCTAAACCCTAAACCCTACACCCCCTAGTGATTGCTGATGATGCGCGTGCACGTGCATGCGACGGTCGCCTCATTGAGCATGCTTCTGCTTTGAGCCTCTCGTGCCGCAAGGCCCCTAAGTGATTAATAGCAATATTTCCGATAATGCTCAGTATTGCGGGAGTACGCCGCAACTCAGCAAATCAATACCATGGGTCAAGAGACAGTGGAAAAGGCTTCTTCGTTCGTAGCTGAAGTGTGAGAACAGGAAAATCTGCCAACTCATGCCCAACCACTGCGGCCGCAATGGATATTGGAGACCGGGTGCCAACTCCCACACCAGTAGTTCGTCAAACGCATTGCGGACCACGTCCCACCAAATGAGTCTTCAAAGTAGACTGTACCTGTGCAGGGACCGCGTGTAGCTTCAGTCCAACGTGTATGAGGTATATGGCTAAACATGGGATAGATCACGAGCTCTGATACGGAGATACCTCGGGCCTATGTACTTCTATGCTCCCGAGCTAGCAGTTTCTGCTTCTTCCAGACATTCCAGACATTCCTGCGATCCCTAAACCCTACACCCTAAGCGCTAAACCCTAAACCTGAAACCCTAAACCCTAAAGCGTAACACCCTGAACCCTAAACCCTAAACCCTAAACCCTAAACCCTAAACCCTAAACCCTAAACCCTAAACCCTAAACCCTAAACCCTCGTCGCGGAGCTGTCGCCTGGCTCCTCGCGGGTCTTGAGCCGTATCTTCATATTCCCGACCTGCGTGGCCCCATCCTTGGAAAAGGGGGTTTAGGGGGTTTAGGGGGTTTAGGGGGTTTAGGGGGTTTAGGGGGTTTAGGGGGTTTAGGGGGTTTAGGGGGTTTAGGGGGTTTAGGGGGTTTAGGGGGTTTAGGGGGTTTAAGGTTTTTAGGGTTTAGGGTTGGTCGTTCGGGGGTTTAGGGTTTATGGGGGTTTAGGGGGTTTAGGGGGTTAGGGGGTTTAGGGGTTTTAGGGGTTTAGGGTTTAGGGGGTTTAGGGGGTTTAGGGGGTTTAGGGGGTTTAGGGGGTTTAGGGGGTTTAGGGGGTTTAGGGGGCTTAGGGGGTTTAGGGGGTTTAGGGGGTTTAGGGGGTTTCGGGGGTTTGGGGGGTTTAGGGGGTTTACGGGGTTTACGGGGTTTAGGGGGTTTACGGGGTTTAGGGGGTTTCGGGGGTTTGGGGGGTTTTGGGGGGTTTCGGGGGTTTAGGGGGCTGAGAGGGCTTCGGGGGTTTGGGGTTCACCAAAGTCCAGAATGATGTGGACATTGAAGAACCCTCAACCCTAAACCCTGAACCCGAAACCCTAAACCCTAAACCCTAAACCCTGAACCCTAAACCCTAAACCCTAAACCCTACATCCTAACCCCCAAACCCTAAACCCTAAACGCTCTGCTTCCGCTGCCAAGGATCTGTGTACGTGACGCAAGCACGGACATCGCTGGCGGAGCCTGGCTCTTGGGGTAGCTACATGGCCCCTTCGTGTGGGCCCTCAAAAGCAGGAGCCCTTTTTTGAAGCCAAGGTCCCTTAGTATGGGCCCTTTTAAAAAAGGAACCCGTTAAAGAAGGTAAGGGAGCATACTATTCAGGGCCCATACATCTTCACTAGGGAATCAGGGCCCTATATAATCCCTTAAAGGGTACAGGTAGGGCCCTCATTCCCTCAGCCCCTACTAAGAACCAGGAAGCCTAAACCCTAAACCCTAAACCCTAAACCCTAAACCCTATAAGAACCAGGAAGCCTAAGATACCAGAAAGTCCGAGCCACTGTAGTCCGAAAGTTGGAGCATCACGCCGCCATCTGCGGGTTTGTTGAGTTGCGTCCACGTGTTGACAGGGGGACCTCAGAGTCGCTGAATCTAAATGGGTTTAGGGTTTAGGGTTTAGGGTTTAGGGTTTAGGGTTTAGGGTTTAGGGTTTAGGGTTTAGGGTTTAGGGTTTAGGGTCAACCTTCTCTAAGCATGGCCACGCTGAACACAAGGTGCCCAAAGGACATGAACATTCCCTCAAACAGGTGGCTGCCATCATAGCTGCCATGAACGGGAATCACACCGCGGTATGTCCTGCTGACGCAGTCTTCGCTTGAAGGAGCTGGGCTGGGATCAGTTGGACAACAACTTTGACAACTTTTGGGCTCTGCAGCGGCACAAGCTAAACATGATCAAGTTCCGTTCCGCTCCGTTCCGGCGTCCGGGGAGGCAGATGCCCCCCCCCGCCTCTAGAGACAGAAACCCAACCCTGCGGCTGTTGGGAATAAAAGATGGCAGTAATAACAATCATAGAAACAATATCGCTAACAACAGTGAATAATCGAAATAATAAGAAGAACATTCATAAACATGACAATGGTTTAGTACAAAAACAAGTGTAAACAAGAAGTAAAAAGAGAAATAGCGTAAATAATTGTGATAAATCATAACAACAAGAATAGACAGATAGTAAGAATGGAAGTCGTAGTAAATATCGTACTTATAGAAATAATGGCACTGATAGCAATAAAAATAATAGTTACAATTGTGGTAGCAATAGGAGCAGCAGAAGCGGCAGCAGCACCATCCCTGTGCCACAACCCTAAACCCTAAGCCCTAAGCCCTAAACCCTAAACCCTAAACCCTAAAACCTAAACCCTAAACCGCTTCGGCCGACTTCCGCACACCCTCCACAATCTGCCCAATGCATCCGTGAAGTGTCGAAGGCACAAAAAGATGCCAGGGGTTTGTGGCCCAGTAACGGGGTTGAGGGTTTAGGGGTTAGGGTTTAGGCTTGCCCAGCAACCATAATCTAATTAGGGCCCCCTCTTGCGGTTGGTGTTACTTGACAAGGGAATCCCAGAACCCAAGCAAAGGGAAAACAGGGTAACCCTAAACCCTAAACCCTAAACCCTAAACCCTAAACCCTAAACCCTAAACCCTAAACCCTAAACCCTAAACCCTAAACCCTAAACCCTAAACCGCAAACAGGGTACTCTAGAAAAGGTCATGAAGGGGCAGTCTCCTGGCATCGTTGGGGTCATCACTTCCGTATTCGAAGTCGTAGCTCCGGATGTCCACCTTTGCTTAGGGTTTAGGGTTTAGGGTTTAGGGTTTAGGGTTTAGGGTTTAGGGTTTAGGGTTTAGGGTTTAGGGTAAGAAGAAGCACGGCGACTGCAAACTGAACGCACACGAACGACTGCAGTTGTGGTTGAGTTCGCATGCGAGCCGCGAAAGAGAGTTGTAGGCCTACATCCCAAGCCATGTGGGTAGCTCTCTTATAGTGCGGCACCCTAAACCCTAAATCCTAAACCCTAAACCCTAAACCCTTAATTGATAGACTCTCAAAGGGACCCCAATTTATGAGAACTACCCATGGGTTGAAATCTCTGCAGGGTGCTCGGGCCCATGACATAGGGCAACTTCGAGCCTCTTAGGGTTTAGGGTTTAGGGTTTAGGGTTTAGGGTTTAGGGTTTAGGGTTTAGGGTTTAGGGTTTAGGGTTTAGGGTTTGGGGTAGTTTCATGGTCCATCAATATGGGCCCTTAAACGGGGACCCCTTATATACCCCTTATATACCCTATGAACCCCAAGGGCCCACACCAGAACCCTTCGAAGAAGGTAAGGGACCATATTGGAGCCATGTAAAGACTAAACCCAAATGTAAACCTACGTAGCCCCTCGAACCCTAAATCCTAAATCTATATAAACCAACAACCCGTAACAGCCCTACTTCAGCCCGAGCGCTACCCAGGGATCATATTTACGACCCTTGGAAAGCCTGCCAAAAACTCCAAACCGATGCAATTCATGCTGAGCTCAGAAGGGGTTTTAACTTCAGACCGACTCGCGGCTTCAGACCGTTTAGGGTTTAGGGTTTAGGGTTTAGGGTTTAGGGTTTAGGGTTTAGGGTTTAGGGTTTAGGGTTTAGGGTTTAGGGCTTCGGGCCTAGGGCTTAGGGCTCAGGGCTCAGGGCTTAGGGTCTAGGGTTTTAGGGTTAAGATTCTCCCCGGCTCTCCCCTTGGGAGCGCCCAAAAAAGCCTTTGCGGACCCAAGCCTACGCCCTAAACCCTAAACCCTAAACCCTAAACCCTAAACCCTAAACCCTAAACCCTAAACCCTAAACCCTAAACCCTAAACCCTAAACCCTAAACCCTATAAAGCCTAAACCCTAAACCCTATACGCCTTCGCACTTCCAAGGGACGTTGATGGATGCATCGCTGCTCGCCAGAACCTGCGCTGCTTCGGCATGCACAGCGCTCGGACGGGTTTAGGGTCTAGGGTTTGGGGTTTAGGGTTTAGGGTTTGGGGTTTAGGGTTTAGGGTTTAGGGTTTAGGGTTTAGGGTCAGGGTTTATATCGTGCGGCACCCTTATAATAAGGACCCAGAAAGGGACCTAATCTAGAGAACCCAATGAGGCTTGGCTGCAGCCAACTTCGCGCTTGCATGCGGTTTTGTGCGGAAGCCCTTCGTCCAACACGAAGGCCCCAGTTCAAACATCAACCCTAAACCCTAAACCCTAAACCCTATACCCTAAACCCTATACCCTAAACCCTGAGCTCCTCCAACCTGAACTCTTCCAACCACAGGGGTCCGCGCGCGGGATGTAGGAGTTTCTATAGGGTTTAGGGTTTAGGGTTTAGGGTTTAGGGTTTAGGGTTTAGGGTTTAGGGTTTAGGGTTTAGGGTTTAGGGTCTGGGGCACTTTCAGACTCTGCACCATGTCCGACAATCAAAGACATGCCCCACACACGCGCTAATGCGTTTTTTCAAACCCTAAATCCCTGAACCCCTAAACCCCAAACCACAAGCCCTTAGAACTTAGCTAAGCCCTAAGCGCTAAACCCCAACCAAGTCTGAACAGTGCCTGGCATGTGTTGACCCAGCTGACCCCACACTGGACGACTGGATGCCACATTCCACACCTTGGGGCACGGAGCAAAATTGGACCCAAAACCCTAAACCCTAAACCCTAAACCCTAAACCCTAAACCCTAGACCCTAAACCCTAAACCCTAAACCGTTCTTGGGAGTTTGCGTGAGAGCGGTTGGGCTTCGGGTTTAGGGTTTAGTTGTTGCGCACCTGTCGGGGACGTTTCGGACATGGAGCACTCTTCCACGACTTCCTTTAGCTGAAGGTGGGAGGTACGCAGTTGACCAGTTCCTTTTTTTAATGTTCATCTTGTCTAACAAGGTTGACAAGTCTGCGCCTGCGCGCCAGCCAAAGACTTGAGGTTTCGGAAAATTATCTGTGCTGGTTTCTTGTCAGCTTCTACACAGATTGTATCTTCAGCTGAACCCACGATAATCCACGTCATCAAGCGTCTAACTTGTGCGCATGGTATGCATTCAGAGCATAATGCAGCCCAGGAACCATCTCATAACAAGGGCGCCCCTTTTTGGGGTTGGTTACTCATAAGGCAACCCAGAACCCCAAAAAAAGGGTAAAGGGTACCACTGGGCTACCAAGAAATGCTGCCAGAGGAGCACTTGCTTCAGCAGACCCAGGTTTGAATACGAGGTTGTGAACTGGTCATCGAAAGCATCCTCTTCAAGCTCTTGCAAAAAGGGTTTAGGGTTTAGGGTTTAGGGTTTAGGGTTTAGGGTTTAGGGTTTAGGGAGACTTCGCAGCCCTGTGACCATGTTTGAACAAGGGCACCCTTTTTGGGGGCTGGTTACGTGACAACAAGGGAACCTTGAGGCAAAAAAAGCCAAAAGGGCACCACTGGGTTACCACGGAGAGGACTAGGGTTTAGGTTCTAGGGTTTAGGGTTTAAGGTTTAGGGTTAGGCAAACAGTCCATCCTGCCAGACTCCAGCGGCACCCTTCTTCTGAAGCTTCATGCGGATTTGCGTTGTGCCCACGCCATTATCCTTGGCAGTAAGCCACAAAAGCCGCTCTGTAGGTTTCGCGTCCGACAGCCTTTCACCCTAAACCCTAAACCCTAAACCCTAAACCCTAAACCCTAAACCCTAAACCCTAATTAGCCAGCGTACAGTAAAGGCGGCGCAGGCCCGCATCTTGGTTGTTCGAGGCCTCAGGTGCTCGCAAGCTTCCAGATGTAAAAAAACCTTGATGGGTTTAGGGTTTAGGGTTAGGGTTTAGGGTTTAGGGGTTTAGGGGTTTAGGGGTTTAGGGGTTTAGGGGTTTAGGGGTTTAGGGGTTTAGGGGTTTAGGGGTTTAGGGGTTTTAGGGGTTTAGGGGTTTAGGGGTTTAGGGGTTTAGGGGTTTAGGGGTTTAGGGGTTTAGGGGTTTAGGGGTTTAGGGGTTTAGGGGTAGGGTTTAGGGTTTAGGGGTTTAGGGGTTTAGGAGTTTAGGGGTTTAGGGGTTTAGGGGTTTAGGGGTTTAGGGGTTTAGGGGTTTAGGGGTTTAGGGCTTTAGGGGTTTAGGGGTTTAGGGGTTTAGGGGTTTAGGGTTTAGGCTTTAGGGTTCATAAACCTTGGGTTTGACCAGGAGAAGCCAAGCGAAATCCCTTGGCTTCCTGCTTGCATGCTGTCACGTCTCTTGCTGCTACTGTGTCTCCGATGCCCGCAACAACATTATCTGCAGGGGAAGGGGGTTCTTAAGGGAGGGGGGGGTTATACAACCCAAGGTTCCCTAATAATCCCCACTACTTCCCTAAAGTTCCCGAGGTACCTGCGCCCCATGAACCCCCCCGTCCCTTAAGAACCCTATAAGTTATCTGCAGTCAGGATACGGATATGCGCCTCCCATCCCATCTGTGGAAATCAATCTCCAACCTCAGTTTGAGAGATTGGATGCCGACTGTTTTGTGCCCCCCAAAGTGGTTCGCCACAGTCCGCCATGGGATGTTCCAAAACATCCGAACTTCTAGACCCAGGAGTAACCTAGGAATAAAAAGGGTGCCCTTTCTGGCTTAAAGGGGTACAGAAGGGAACCCAAACCCTAAACAAGGGAAATAAGGGCGCAATTGCTTAGGAATGTTCTTCACGATGTCGATTGTAGTAACAAGATGATCGTTGTCTTTTTTATACAATATTTGCCATGTTAAGCACTTCAATGGGTAAGTATGAGACTTGATGAATTTCTATGATTAAACCTTTGGCGACCAACAAATAATGGAATGCTTTAGTCAATCTATTGGACTAGACATCACGCGGGTGCAGGAAGCTTGCAGGTGCTTGCGACACAACTTGGCTGCACTTAGCAGGGTAGCTCAAAATTAAACTTTTAGCTACCTTGTTAAGAAACCCAATAAACCCAAAATGGCTAAGGATCTAAAGTTACGGTACAGTACCACAGAGTAGTATGGGGTTCTCAAGGGAGGAGGAGGGGGGGGGGGGGTTCGAGGGTGTAGGGTTTACGGTTTCGGGCTTAGGCCTACCTTTGGAGTAGACCCTGGAAAAAAAGTATATACTTTTTAGGTATAAGTAGCTCTAATAGGAACCCAGAACCAAAAAAAGGTATTAAAGTACAGTACTCCAAAACCCAGTTAGGGTCAAGGGCTCCCTAAGATTCCCTAGCTACCCCCCCCCCCCCCCCCATCAACCCCCCTCCCAACAAAAAAACCTATAAGCTAAGTGCACCTGGCTGTCTTAGAGATAGGGATAGGAGTAGGGGGACCCTTGGGGACATAGACCCTCTCAATAAGGTCCCTGCTTAAGAGAGCCAGAAACCCTAAACCCTCAACCCTCAACCCTAAACCCTTAACGCAGGAGAAAAAAAAAACAGTGAAACGAAAACTTGGCGCTTCTGAGATGAGCCACTTCCATCCAACGGCCCGGCGTACGACACCGGGTAGGTCATGCGACCGAGGAAGGCAGTGATCCTCAGATGGACCCTAAACCCTAAACGCCAAACCCTAAACCCTTAAAGCCTTAAACCGCCTTAAACCCTTAAACCCAGGAGAGGTCATCCCAGTAATGCATCGGGGCTCAAGGTAACCCAGGGTCCAAGGAGTCGATGGTCTCTTTGCATTGAGGTGGGTTTAGGGTTTAGGGTTTAGGGTTTAGGGCTTAGGGTTTAGGGTCTAGGGTTTAGGGTCTAGGGTTTAGGCTCTAGGGTGGACTCCCGAGAGAAGAACAAGGCAGCTGTGATGAGACTCTCCATGCTGCCACCTACAATAGCAACCGGCAGAAGAATCTATTTCCACCAGGTTATCCCATCCTAAACCCTAAACCCTAAGCCCTGAGCCCTGAGCCCTAAACCCTAAACCCTAAGCCCTAAACCCTAAACCCTGAACCATAAACCCTGAACCATAAACCCTAGCCCCCGTCCCGGCTCTCAAACTAGAGACTCAGTCTGCAAGTCGTGTGCAAGAACAAGGACTCTTCCTAAACCCTAAACCCTAAACCCTAAACCCTACACCCTAAACCCTAAACCCTAAACCCGGGTAACATAGGGCCATATGAAGTAGGGTATATATTTCTTGTACCCCTAAAAGGACACCCAAGGTATACACTCACCAATATTGAAACGGAACCTTAGATACACTCGCCAAAAACAGAAATAGAAACCCTGCTTCATAATATAGGGATTACTATCTCTTTAGGGTTTAGGGTTTAGGGTTTAGGGTTTAGGGTTTAGGGTTTAGGGTTTAGGGTTTAGGGTTTAGGGTTTAGGGGTCTTACGCAAATTGTCAAGAACAAGGTCGAGAGTCCGGCCCGGATTCGTGTTAAAGAGATGCTCCATGTCAACCTGGAAGATGCTGGTTGTTTAGGGTTTAGGGTTTAGGGTTTAGGGTTTAGGGTTTAGGGTTTATGGTTTAGGGTTTAGGGGGAAATGTAGATCCTACGAGGAGCTTTCTTCCGTGGCTACTCTACGCAGCTTCATGCAACGTGTGGAAAATCCAAGCGCTACAATTCTTAAAGCCATCAAAATGCAAACTCGTTGATACTAATGAGCATGTATATGGGGGGTTTCCGAAATTCGGGGTACCTTATTGGGGTCCTTGATGTAAGGGGATCCTGCTATTTGAGGGTCTATATTCGGTGTCCCCGATTATGGTAAACCCCATATCCTGCCCTTGAGGTCAGCGTGGCCTTGCCAACGGCCCCACGGCCGGTGCAGTCAACCAACGAGTTCTGAAGCCTGTGGCCAGCCTGCCCGTAGATTGCAGTGATGGGATTGAACGCTGGAGATCCAGTGTCTTTGTGACATACTTTGTAATTGGAGAGATTGTGGCCTCAAACCAAGCAATGCCCAAGCTCACATCCCCAAGCATCACCAACGCAGCCTTCTCATGGCTGACAGAATGGAGACGCCAAAGCATTCCGCCCATGTCCTCCACAGGGACCTGCTGCGCCTCTTGGGCAGCCGCACACGTCTTGTGAACCTTGGTGCGAAGGTGGTGCCAACACAGTGTCTCTTTCAACGTGATTCACGCCGCTACGTCTGCATGCCTTTGTGACGTTACTCCAGTCGATCAGAAGCACGAACAAAATGCTATGACAACACAGCTTTCTCGGCCAGCAGAAGTGGATCCACCCAACATGCCGAAACGTGCAACGACATGCTCATGTGACTTCCGGGGAAAAAACGCGCGCTAATACGTTAGTACCGATGTGCCGGTTGGGGTCCGTGGAAAGGAAACATGCCGATGTGCCAATACACCAGTCAGTCCGGGGGAAACACGCCGGTATGCTAGTCGGGCCAGCAGGAAAGAAACATGTCAATCATCGAAAACGATTCGGGGTCAGCCCTGGATCATCAAACTGGAAGGGCAAGTCGCGGCCAACGAAAGCTGGCTGCGCCAGCACAAGAGGAATGGGGAGGCTTGGTTCAGGGTTAGGGCCAAGGATTAAGGGTAAAGGGCTAAGGGGTGATGCAACGCCGGCACAGGACAGAACAAACCTCGGACACGTGATGTAGGGTTAAAGGTTATGCAAGCATTTCGGGTTGAGGTAATGGCAAGGACAGCGCAGAATTGATGCAATGGCAAAGCAAGCACAGAAGTTGATGCGAGGGCCACGTCAGCATAGAAAAAACAGGGATACGTGGTTTTAGCTAAGGCTGAGGATTTAGGGTTGAGGTAATGACCAGGACAGCACAGAAATTGATGTTGCGGAGGGGACAGCACAGAAGTTGATGCAATGGCCATGGCTGCAGCACAGGAACTGATGCAACGGCTAGGAAAGCACCGAAGGTGACGCAATGGCCAGCACAGCACAGAAGGACAGCACAGACGTTCACGCAATAGCCAGGACAGCACAGAAGACATAAGGAATAAGGACACTGGGTTTAGAGTTTAGAGTCGTTTAAGAGTTAAGGATTGTGGTCTCAGGGTTGATGCAATGGCCAGGTCAGCACAGAAGGAACAAGGAGACTCGGTTTAGGTTTAAGGGTTAAGGGCTTAGGGTTGGTTTACGGACTTTCATCTGGTTTTAATTGGTTTCAATCTATGTTTTCGGGGAAGTTGAATACAAACGCGCAACAATCCGGACCTTGTCCTACCCTGCTAAAGCAAGATACCACTCGACTCAAGCCAGCTCGCGCTAGCATTCGTGATACGCGGATACACCGGTGTGCCGGCTAGGCTGTATCTGTGCAAAGGGCGCAGTTTGGAATTGATGGGTCGTGTCACAATCGCAGGCGCATACACGCAGTGACTAAGCAGAGATCCTAGACCCAAGAGTCAGCTAGGAATGAAAAAGGTGCCCTTCTTGGTGTGAAGGGGCTCAGGGTTTAAGGTTTAGGAAGTGCCGCACCCTGACACTGCGTTTCGCAAGCCAAGTGCGTGAAGAAAACCTTCCCACTGTCATGGTCCCTGGTGGTTTGCAGGCAGACCGGAACCGACACCAGCATTGGTCTCCACTTGCCAAGCCTGAAAAGCTCCCACCTCGTGCACAACGCACAGTCGTCATCGCAGAAAGCGTAACTCTAGCGAAACCCTAAACCCTAAACCCTAAACCCGAAACCCTAAACCCTAAACCCTAAACTCGCGTGGACAGGAACAGGGATCGGCTGGTCTTCCACGATGGTCTGCTCCATGCACTGGTTGATACCCTGGAGCATCTTCCTGGCTCGGAAGCTCTTTAGGGGTTTAGGGTTTAGGGTTTCGGGTGTAGGGTTTAGGGTTTGTGAAACTTCCCGGAAACAACATCTGTTGAAACACATGCTCTGAGCACTTAAAGGATGGAGTGGAAAAGCATGAGGAGTGCAGATTCTCTGGGCACGCATTGCTAGGTTGCTGAACTTCAAGCAAGCGCCGGTGGCACTCACAGCAGTTGAGGAGTCAATGTGTGCGATGTGAAAGCAAGTAAAGGCTCAGAGCTTTCCGATATGAAGCTCCAGACATGCTCTTGCAAGTCCACTGCTCACCCTAAACCCACTCTACCATACGTATTTAAACCTTACTTGAATTTCAGAATAAGGCCGCGCCGCTTCATTTTCAGAATAAGGCCACTTTCTTTTCAGAAGAGGGCCGCTTTATTTCAGAATAAGGCCGCTTCATTTTCAGAATAAGGCCGCTTTATTTTCCGAACAAGGCCGCTTTTGCTTTTTTCAATGTTATGGGATTCTCTGGGTGGGTGGGTGTGTTATCAGAGCCGTGAATAAAACGTAACCGTAAAACTGCTCGATTCTGAGTGCTAAACCCTAAACCCTAAACCCTAAACCCTAAACCCTAAACCCTAAACCCTAAACCCTAAACCCTAAACCCTAAACCCTAAACCCTAAACCCTAAACCCTAAACCCTAAACCCTAAACCCTAGACCCTAGACCCTAAACCCTAAACCCTAAACCCTAAACCCTAAACCCTAAACCCTAACCCACTGATCCAAGCCCAGGCGTCACCACACGGCTATCGGAGCTGGTGGTGGCCGAAAACTCGGCGACGAGGTTGGCGTTGCAGAAGTCCTCCAACTCCGCAGCTTGGCGCAGCTTGACACTCTTGGGGCTTTTGCTCAACAAAACAAAAACAGAACCCCTGAAACTACCCGCTTTTGCGTCTCGACTGCGTCCGTGTTCTGCGGGACTACTGTTTGGGGGGACACACGCTATTTCCAAACCCCTTTCGCGTCATTACTGCGGGTTATGTGTCATGTTTACACGGCGTGGAAGTGGGTTTTGGGGTTTAGGGTTTAGGGTTCAGGGGACGATGTTTGTCTGCGAAGAAAGCCCATCTGCGAAGAGCCTCTGTCTTGCCATGTTTTTCAGCAGCAAGCCTCTCAAAAATAGGGTTTCGGGTTTAGGGTTTAGGGTTTAGGGTGTTATAGAGCCCATACAGCTCTTGCCCAACCTGTGAGCCAGCGACATGGCTAGGAGTCCCTAAACCCTAAACCCTAAACCCTAAACCCCTAAACCCTAAACCCTAAACCCTAAACCCCAAACCGTCCACCGTGCATCCCCGGCCTGCTGCACCATCTCAAATTCATCTCCCTGGCCAAACTTCATGCAGTGGACCTCGCGCAAGAAAAGGTTTAGGGTTTAGGGTTTAGGGTTTAGGGTTTAGGGTTTAGGGTTTAGGGTTTAGGGTTTAGGGTTTAGGGTTTAGGGTTTAGGGTTTAGGGTTTAAGGTTTAGGGCGAGAGAAACCCGGATTGCAGAATGTAGTTCTTGAAGAAGTCGACGGCGGGCGCAGGCCGGTGTTGGACGACACTATTGTAGCTGGGTCTGGTGTTTGCACAAGACCCAAAGGGTCCTAAGTACCTATGTAGTAGAAAGTAGGGTTTCTATAGGAGGAATTACTATTATGGTTTGGGTAAGTGTCCCCCATATAGGTACTTAGGACCCTTTGGGAGATGTACGTGAGCCAGCAGCGGTCAGATACTCTCCTGTGACACCGCAACGGAAACCTCCAACTGCCATGGGTCTGAGCAGATCGAAATGACAAGGAAACATAGTACGGACCACCGGCCTGAGAAAGTCGAAAGTACCGCTCTTCAGGATTAGGGTTTAGGGTTTAGGGTTTAGGGTTTAGGGTTTAGGGTAACAAGAATGAGCAAAAAATTGGCGCGGGGGGGCCTTGTCCAACAGGACCTCTGTTGCTAGTGCCAGCCGCATCCTATTGAAAAACCAGATTTCTTGCTCGTTCTTCCGCTCGATCTCCTGCAATCAGGGTTTAGGGTTTAAGGGTTAAAGGTTTAGGGTTTAGGGTTTAGGGTTTAGGGCTTAGGGGGGCAAAGGAAATCTTTCGGGCGTGCTAAGTGACCTGCAGACCCATTGTCGCGGGGAACTTGTCCTGACCTCCTTTCCAAGCCTACATGTAGCATCCCATTGCACATTTGTGCTCTGTGAAGAGGAGCTTGTGGGAGAACCCTAAACCCTAAACCCGAAACCCGAAACCGGAAACCCTAAACCCGAAACCTAAGCCCTAAACCCTAAACCCTAAACCCTAAACCCTAAACCCTAAACCCTAAACCCGAAACCCTAAACCCTAAACCCTTGGGGCTCCTTGTATCCGGTTGCTCCAACTTGCACGCACTTGTAGCAATTGAAGCTGCCAAGCCCGGGCTCATTTCTAGAGTTGAACCTGTGTTTAGGGTTTAGGGTTTAGGGTTTAGGGTTTAGGGTTTAGGGTTTAGGGTTTAGGGTTTAGGGTTTAAGGTTTAGGGTTTAGGGTTTAGGGTTTAGGGTTTAAGGTTTAGGGTTTAGGGTTTAGGGTTTAGGGTGTAGGTTTTAGGGTTTAGGGTTTAGGGTTTAGGGTTTAGGGTTTAGGCTGAGTACCCTAAACCAGAACAAGGTTGACCTTTCAATTACCGTGAAATTATATCTACCCCTCAAGGTTACGAGTTGTAAGGTTGCCTACTAAACACTAAGGTTGGGATGTCATAGACCTCCTCTACCTGGCCCGAGGCCTCCCAAGCCAAGGAGCCACTTGCCATTGACGCACGTCAAGCTGGTTGTAGATGATAAGCCAGAATCAAGCCCGGCATATCGCTCATCCCAGCAAGACATGCCAAGTTTGGTGCCATGCACGAAGGTCTGGGGCAACCTCAACGGCATCAACGGAATCAACAGGTCGCTCAACGCAAAAGAGTCGCAGAAGTCTGAAACTGAGGCGAGACGGGCGACGTCTTCTTGTGCTGCCATTGATGTGAGATCGGATCCCGGTAAGTGGGCCTCTGGCACACTCGAGGCGGTTTAGGGTTTAGGGTTTAGGGTTCAGGGTTTAGGGTTTAGGGTTTAGGGTATACGGTTTAGGGTTTAGGGTTTAGAGCTTAGGGCCTAGGGCTTAGGGTTTAGATCTAGGGTTCATGCACTTAAAGCGCTTCAAGCAGAGACCATACTTGGCCGTGGCGCCTGGCACAGGTCTCGATCCCACCGCCTTCCAGATGATCGTTGCGTTTTGTTTTTGTGCGCTTGCAGGAACGTTTGTGCTCGCCAGATCTAGGAGGAAAAGCCATAAGCCATGAGCCCTAGACCCCGAAGCCCGAAACCCGAAACCCCAAACCCCAAACCCCAAACCCCAAACCCCAAACCCCAAACCCTAAACCCTAAACCCTAAACCCTGAACCCTAAACCCTAAACCCTAAACCCTAAACCCCAAGAGAGGCCTCCCAAGAGAAGGTTCAGGTCGCACTGCACGTGGAGATCCCAAAGCCGGAAGGCCGGCACCCCTCGGCTTGAGATGGGTTTAGGGTTTAGGGTTCAGGGTTTAGGGTTTAGGGTTTAGGGTTTAGGGTTTAGGGTTTAGGGTTTAGGGTTTAGGGTTTAGGGTTTAGGGTTTGGGTTTAGGGTTTAGGGTTTAGGGTTTAGGGTTTAGGGTTTGGGTTTAGGGTTTGGGTTTAGGGTTTAGGGTTTTTAGGGTTTAGGGTTTGGTTTAGGTTTAGGGTTTAGGGTTTAGGGTTTAGGGTTTAGGGTACGGGGGGACAACCAAGGAAGGAAATCAACTCCCCTAATCGCCCTGAACCTATATTCCCCAGATCGAACCAAGAAACAAACGAGAACACGGATAAGAGCAACCCAGGGGGGAAGGAAAGGGGGAAGGAATCCACACCCTTACCAAACCCTAAGAACCCAGGCACTACTTTTTGAACTTGTGGCTTTCTGTTCAAGCCCATCTTGAGCCAAACATGTTTTCCGGGTTCATTAACCCTTCCAACTCTCAACACTAACTCTTTTCTACAATACCAGTTGCAGCTCCGCACTCCCCCTGTCCTAGGATTTCCTAGGACACATTGGAGGTGCAGATCTTTGGCCAAAAACTGCCATTAGGGCAGCAGCCAGCTGCTTGAAATGCACAATATGGTTTTACGTCTACCAGGACGAAATTATAGCACATTGGCTGAATCCACTAACCATAGAGAATCTTTTTTCCACTTTGATCCTCTTATCATTGAAGACTCTTCGGCCTTCTTCACCACAAACCGTGGTCTTCGCTACGTGAAAAGCTACTAACTTCTACTATCAGGGATTTCCATACCCTTAATAGTAACCACCACATTTTCAGCACATTGGCCGATCCAGCGCACCTGTCTCCAGAAAGAGAAAAACCATCCCTTCATCCATACCATCCAGTCACTTTTTCTTCCGATGGTTTGCAATACTGAGGTGAAGTTGCAGCAGAATATACTCCAGGTCCGAAACTGCAAGAACAGGATCCTGCACACACCTTTGAATTGAGGATACCAATCCTTCTCTCTTTGCGTCCTCAATCGCTTGGCAAGATTGACCCAGCTCTGCACTCACAGCTGCAGACGCTTGCGCATCCACATCAGAAGGACGATCCTTTTCCTCAGGACCTTTCACCACCACCACTTCTCCCTTTTTGGGACTCTGACTTTTCTCCTTCTTCTTCGCCTTTCCACCGACGTTTGACTTTGTGCGCATTTTCGAGGCTTTTTCCCCTGCAGAAACCGCCGCATTGGATGATGATCCACTCTTCTCAATGGTCGCCGGCATCTTCTTCGGCTTTGGAACCAGGAGAGTGTAAGGATCTTCGATAACTGCAGTTTTCCTCTTGTTTTTAACCTTTTTTGCCTCCTCCTCACCGGCAACCTCCGTCTCAGAAGTCTCAACCACCTCCTTTTCGGCAGGAATATCCTTGCTGGACTCCCTTTCTAGGGACCTCTTCTTGCCCCTTTTGGGATCTTTTTCTTCTTCCACGTTGGCTCGCTCGAACCATATCCTCAGGTCATTGACCCATTCTTCCACCTCCTCGAGCGAAACCTCATACGACTTCACTACTTCGTGAAGTTCCAGCACGGACAACATATCGGTGGTCCACGAAACCCATTCTCTATCCATCTGGTCAGTATCTCCATTGAACTTCAGGAGTTTGAACAATGGGTCCGCCTCTGCTCGAGCCAAATCTGTTTTGCCATTGGACAGAAATGAAATCGCTTCCATCAACAGTTCCGACATTTTGGTGTCATCGTCATAAGTCATGGAATACTCCTCACCATCATCGAACTGTTCAGGAGAGATCTCCTTTTCCCCACCTTTTGCACCAGAACTTCTCCTTGGACCATCCCTTGGGGGCGTCCTTGGAGACCTTGGCCTCTGTTCATTCAGCGGATCACCATGCTCAAAAACACACCTGTCACCATAACGACACTTCCCAGACTGAGCAAACTGAATGCACCTCACACCAGTTGCATCATGCGAGAACGCACACTTCTTTCCAGCGAAACAGGGTCTCCCCGCCACATAGTATTTGCACCAATACGAATGCAGCACCACATCATCTTCTGAATGGATGAATTTGCAGTCTTCACCAAATTTGCAGCGATCTTTTCCCTTACTGAACCAATAGCAGAAGCCTTTCTTCCTCTTCTCCAAGCGCTCCGCCTCGTACCGGTCCATAGGGCGATTCTGCTCTACATGAACATTGCCATGTGCCTGAGAACTGCTCCCTTCACCCAAGGTGCTATCAGTACTTGATGCTTGGAGTACAGCTGGAAAACCTGGCCTTGGTCCTACCACCTTCATGATTGGTTTTCCGCCAGCTCCTGAGCCACGCTGAGACGATCCAAAAACATTGAACTTCTTCATGAAGGCTTTCCTAGTGCCGATCTTCTGCACCCTTTTGATTGGATGCTTCATTGCTCCAACCTTGCATCCAGATACGTTCAAACGACACAACCTCCTATACCCAGCTCTATATCCCTTTTTCCAAAGAGCCATAAGAATTTTAGAGGCAGTAACATTCTCCACCTCTACCTTTTCCAACGATCCCTCACTTCCCGGAACAAACCCATCCAACCCATCCATATCTGAAGACCTTTCCATCTTTTTTGACACCACTTCGTCGAGGTAGTCTTCAGAGATCCAGGGTAAGTTCCTCTTAGAGGAAGGATTGTCACCATTGTTTGGTCCTTCACCAGGATACCCCTTTGTGCTGTCAAAGATCTTACCAGTAGTGCGGTCCTGCGTAGAGAAATTGGAAGCAACGCGAGAGTACACTGACCACAAGAAAATCCTTGTGCCCGCCAGTCTTGACGACCCACTGGATGTCTCCTCTTCCGGAGAGACTTCTGGCGCTTTGCCATCCCTTCCAGTGTCACCAAGTGTCTCACCTCCAGCATCTTCAATGGGAATAAGGGATTCATTGTTCCCTTGATCTAGTACCGCATCTTGTTGATCGGGGATCTCCAGCACCATTCCTGTAGGATCCACTTCCTCATCAGCATCGTCGTCCATTCTTCTCCAGAGAACCTCCAATTGATCAGCGCAGGTCGCCGCCTGAAGGAACTCCATCATTTGGTCCCTCCCGTGCTGCCAGAGAAATTCGGAATTCACCACTGTCCCTTGGCCTCCTAGTCTAAGGAATGGAGCGACCAGATTGGCTACCCTTGCCATAAGTTCCACATGAACTTCCATGCCTGGACTGCGACTCCAATCATAGGCTATTGCCTCCATAGCAGTTCCAAACTTTTCAGTATTTCTGAATTCCTTTTCCAGGCCAGGAGAAAGCAGCGCACCCATCACCGAAAGAGGATAATTTCCCACCACCGGCAAGCACGGATCTTCATGGAACGAATGATGCAAATCACCGTAGTGTCCTTGATCTCTCCTTTCAAAAAGGAGTCTCCCAGTATTCAACTGGGCATTCAGTTCATCCACTTGAACCATTTCAGCACATATTCTCTGTGCCGCAGTCGCTATTGCCGACCAGAGAGCACGATCTGCCAACCCACGACGCATAACCCACATAGTTGTCGCCGACTGAATCAGTGTACCAGGGTCATATGCCATGACCACCAATGCACCATCATCCATTCTCTGATCAGTATCATCTTCCAATGCCAGGTTCAAATCCTGTTCGCTTGCACCTTCAGATGACATGCTAATAACCAAGTTTCGATCCATTTTATTGGATCCCTTCTGATAGTCCTTGTGCCCCACAGGCAACTTGCCGACAGCAACCTTCCAATAAATCCGATTCAGAAGACCTTTAACCAGCAATTGCTGAGGAACATTCTTCACCGGACGAACATCCAATGTCTTCGCACCATCACCACGGAGTTCATTGCTCCCACCTTCTCCTTCGTTTTGGTCAGTCTCCTCGCCAGGAATTTGCACTGCTCCTTCCAGCGCCGTCTCCTGTCCAGCCACTTCTTGCCCAGGAAGAACTTGAGCGCCTTCAGATACATTCACCTGTCCAGCAACACCTTGCCCAGGTAAAACCTCATCCGTGGAGCCCACCGCCAGCGAACCAACTATAACTGAGCCATCCCTTGCTCTTTTTTGAGACTGTTCAGTTCGACGAGAAGGTTGTGGTAGCGAAAAAACTTGAGAAGTCACTTCTTGGCGGGTCTCCCCCCGCGACGCTTTGTCGCGTTCTTCGCCAAGGTGAACCGATTTTTTCTGCCCGTCATTGGGGCCGGAAGAACCACCCATCGGAACATTGCCACGAATCGCAGTTCTCTGTGAATCCCTTTCTTGCAAAAGGATTTCCCGCATGCGTTGCACAGCATTGGTCTCTTCCTCGCTTGAATCGCTTGAGGAAGCGGCATAAGAAACCAAAGCCTCCGCCTGATCATCATCGTCCACCACATCTGCCCACGCTCTGCTGAACCGATACGACAACCCACCACGAGGCTTCAGTTCCAGTGGTTTTGGTTTCTCCACCACTTCCGCCGGTTGCG